TTCACAGTAAGCCTTAATCCTGTCCCTCTCCCCCCAATGGGGTAATTTCGACATGTATTCGACAGCCTATGTCCACCCTGAGGTTCCATTCTAAATATTGGTGAAAGAATTTTTGAAATCGGATGAGTAGTTTTGGAGATTACCTGCTGCATACAAACTAACATACAAACATTACCTCTTTATTATATTAGTATAGATATATATATATTAATAAATATAATTATAATTATTATAGCAATTAATATTCATAAAATTATAGGAATATTAGTATTACCTGTTCTGCTAAAATAATTACAGCTGAAGCAGGTGGAATTTCTTCATGAATAATTACACGAACTGGCAGAACCATAAGACCACAGATGAAAATAATGTAGAGTGTCAAGAAACACAAATCTGGAGAATCTAAACATATATAAATACAGTTATTCATAGAACATTCTCAAAACAGAAAACAAAGTATATTTTGCAATTTTTATTAATAAGTGAGTATTTTTTATAATGCTAAGAAATTATAAAGTACTGTACATATGTATGGTTTGATTGATTAATTAAATTCTATTTTTATAAAATTAATTTGGAAAGAGATAGAATAATGTGACTAGTTTTAAAAAGTAATAAAAATCAATTTTAATTATACATATTCATTTTTCAATATAATCACCTCTTAAACTAGACTTGCAGAAAAGTATTAAGGAAAATTAATATAAAAATAAAAAATTTCAGATTGTTTTAATAGCATAAAATAAGCATAGGAAAGTTAAAATGGCTAACTTTTCTGTAAGCATAAAACAGAAATAGAGAGTTGCTAGATCAATATAAACAGCTTAACAAAATCATAAAATTCATCAAGCTCTTACAACAAAACATAAATGTATCACTATGTTAAAAAGTTAGATATCCAACTTTGAAAGAAAAAAAAATCCAGCACAGTGATGCTTGCAGGCTATAAAAAATGGCAAGCACAAGCTATAAAAAAAGCATCCTATATTATGAAAAATGCTTCAAACTCTGATTCAACATCGGATCAGCCCTCCCACAAAATGGCTCTGGTTGGACTCAGAGTCAGAACTTGGCTTTGAAAACAAAAAATATGGTTTTGGTCACATATGACAAATTTGCATGGAACATGGACAACTATCATTCATTAGTTTCTTTTCTATTGCAGAATATGCTAGAAGCCATAAATTTTCTGTTTTTTATTGATAATGGAATTTTAGGCCCCTTGGGAATTAGAAAAAGGGCAATCCAGACAAAAAAGAGGCACATACTCTGTGCCCCAATGTACAGACACAATGATCCAGTGTGATATACAGGGAGTTCTACTTAAAATCAGCCCAACTGAATGATGAAACATTAGTGATGTAAATTTTATAGGGGACATTTAAAAGGAAAATGTACACAACTAATCCAAGACTATATGCAAACTGAAGCAAAGCATTCACAGAAGCATTAAGGTTATCAATGTCAGTATTTTACATAAGGTCAGTCTGAGCATGTTTACATGTACTCAAAAATTAAATTGTAGCTCTCTATTTGACTCTACACAAATTACAAATTTGCTTTAAGTTTTTTATTAGGAGGGAATAAATTTTTAAAAATTTGAAATAATGAAATTTCATCATTAATAAAAAAAGAAAATGATAAGTTTAAACATTTTAAAAGCATTAATCAAATGCATGTACATAAAGTCCTTACTAGCTTAAAGTTAGCTATGTAATTGGTTGTTTATCTTTGTTTACTGAATGATTCATGTTTTCAGTTTTACTAGAGAAAATTTCTGAACATTTGCATTGCATATCATCTGTCATGTTTGGTAATGCACACAGACCATGTGCCAGAACCTGGCTTGATCTGCAACTTTAAAAAAAAAACCAAAAATGCAAAATATAAATCTTCAAAATTTAAATATTTCTGTTGCTATTTGAAAGAGAGAAAGAGAGGGAGAAAGAAATGTTTTTACTTTCCAGTTTTTACATATAACAGAAGAAAAGTATGGAGATCAGTCAAAAAAATGACCCCCTCCCAAGATTTAAAAACTTTTGGACTCAAGGGACCTTGAAATGTTAAAAAATGCAAAAAAATTTGGGGATTTTCTGTATGTATGAATGTTAATATGTGTGGGGGGTACAATTTGTTTACCTGCTTTGAAGCTTAATAACTCCTGTGGCTTTTGTCAAAATTTCTGAAATTTTGCAGGGAGATTTATGTATTAGAGGAATTGATGCTATTAAATTTTGGTGATTATAGGTCAAGAGGTGGGGAGATAAAGAATGTGTCATATCTCAAGTAGAGTTGAACTTAAAAATTTTTACTCATTATTAGCATTTACAATTTTTTAATAAAATAACAGATGGCACATATGTAAATTTGAACGTTGTTGCTGGGAAAGTTACACAACTCATTGGTGGATATTTTTAAAAAGAGAACAACCATACATCAATATTTTGATTTGGTGGGATATAATTTTTGTTGCTTTGAACTACCAATAAATGGCACTATCTGGAACCTACTCTTGAAAATGAAACCAACATGCTTAAAGCATAATAAGCTCTAAACATGGTTTTCATTCTAAAATTGTTGCAGCAAGTGTTTGTAAAAGTTGCATATGCAATATGTCATCACACATGAAAACTATAAGATACTACATACAACTTAAATTATGCCTCTAAGTAACAGCCTGTTGTTTACATCCAGACTTTGGGGTCCCACAAGCATACTTATCATGGCAGCATACATCTTTTGACTCAAATTAAAAAACAAAAAGCAGTAGTGGCAATTATTTTAATGTATTTAATTGATGAAGAAATTGAAGAGGATGAATAATTCAGACATAAATTTGGTTGCTTTAGGTGCAGATATAGTTTGCCTTCATTTCATCTCTGATCAATGATGATGTCATGCATGATGTTAAATCAACATTAGATTATTGTTGGCTGGTTTATTTATCATGGTTACATGCAACCACAGTCACATGCAACCCTCAAAATCAATCTATATAAAAAATATAATTAATAAAGATATACTTACATAAACATTTTAAATAAGATCTGTAATGTGCCCAGAAATGGAATGTTGGAAAAAGAACTGCTATTAGACTAAGTTTCATCAAAACCCAAACAGTTAGAACAGTTTGTCCTTTTCCAAATGCATAAGTCATCATATCAAAATCTAAGTTTATTCTAAAAAAAAAAAAATTTATAAAAACTTTTAATTATAAAAAAAATATAAGTAAAGTAAAATTTATTTTTAAAAATGTTTATATAACTATCCTTCAAACAATAATCTCTATTAAGAATATCAATAAATTTATCCTATTAAAAAACAACAACAAATCAACTGAAAACTCTGATGATGCTCTACTGGTTTCTACAGGGATGTAAAAATCAATTTCAATACCAATAAAAACCAACAAAATGGTTTTTGTTATGATCAAACCAAGAGATACTAACAAAAATTTTACTGGTATAAGACTATTGATCTATGAAAGCCAATAAAATTTCATTAATTATTATTGGGATGATTATTAACAATTAAAATGAATTTATATATTTGTAATATAATGGAAAGTTTTTAATGTATAACTTTTGATATGTTATTAAATTTGAACTTATAACAAGCAAGAAAATATAACCATGTTTCAAATGTTCTCATTCTAAAAACATCATGTTCATACTTAAAAGAAATCAAAAATAAACCAGTTTAGATGTTGCCAAGCAATGGCTGTAATCGTGAGTATATATTTAAACATTTATGCATTTCTTAGAGATTTCAGTAATTGTTTGATATTTGGTAAATATTTTCTGTTCTAATCCATTTGAATGTAGACATCAAAAGTATTGGACTATGTTGGCAGTGGCAGACCCAGGGGATGAGCCAAGGGACCTTGAAACCCCCAAAATAAAAGGAAAAGAAACACTAGTAAATTTTCCAAAAATATTTTCCTTATTAAAATTCAGTTTTTATTTATATTGTGTTGTATGTTCTATTTCTATATTACTTATGAATTAGTGGTCAAATACAGTGGAAAGTTTATTGAATTCACATTAAAAATTTTTTTATCTGTTCAACCCAATATTAAATCTTGAGTGATATGTTGATGTGTGTTGTTAAAATTCTGAAATGACACAGCATAAATAGAAAAAAAAATCAATATTAAATTCTTTGTCAAATTTGATAAAACTTTATTGAAACAATTAATCTGCTTGAAGAATCATGTGATAATGACATCATGTTGCATGCAAAAAGTCTATGAATGGAATAAATGTTTTAAAGAAAGCCATAAATTCTTGTCCAGGTAAGCCAGCTTCAGTAAGAAACAAATAAATGACTTCCCCAGATCAAAAAAGACAGAAGGCAATCAATAGAAAATCTGGTTGGGAATTTCACATGGTTCTGTACAGTATATGCCATTCTTCATGACTTGATAATGTTTTGCACTATTCTAATACTGTTTAAAGGAAGTTAACAGATGAGCAGTGTGAAGAACATGCATTAATCAGCAGAGACCTAATCAATACAGTTAATAAAAAGATCCAAACACAAAAAGATTACCGGCAATGAAATGGTGTTTATTGTACGACCTGCTATGCAAATGTGCCTCATCAATGTAGAAATCAGCTTGTTCATTACGACAGGAAAAAATTTTAGCTTGACAGACCTAAGGGAAAGATAATGTTTTATATATAAATATATGAAAGATCTGGTGTATGAAGAAAATGTTCTTGATGGTTGATCAGTTAACAAGGAGTTCTACATTGACATTCTCTGTCACAACACAATAAGATGAAAATATCATCTCTGGCAAGCAAAAAGCTACATTTTCTATCATGATAACATCCTGGAGAATAATTCTCTCCTATTTAATGAATATCTTGTAATATAATAAATATCTGATTCCATAGTCTCCTTATTCATTGGATCTTACTCTCACAGTTTCATGCTGTTACCAAAATGAAAAAACTCTATTGAAGGTCACAGATTCAAATCAACAGAAGTGATAAAAAGACTTGGTCATTTTATCCAGACGTACTCCTGTAGAGGGCTTTATAGGTAAATCAAAGCTACTAATTGCTCTAAGGCCCAATTGTTTCCTAGACTGGCTACAGGAAAAAAATCAGATGTTTCACCAACACTAATTTGGCATGAAAGCTATATTCCAAAGATAGAGATGTTGTTCCCTCTGTCACAACCCTAGATTGTTTGCTTTTGCAAAACCCCACAAGTCAGGAAAGAAATTAAGACCAGTGGTCAATAAGAACTGCTCTCCCTCAATTCCTGTTAAAGTCCTCCTCCACAAATATCTCTCACAATGTTCACCATTCAATTTGGTATGTATTAATAATCACATATGAGATACGTACTTCTATGTCCAATATTCACCCACTATTTAATTAATTAATTTAATTATTCAATTGATAAGACAGCAGAAATGGTTCAATTTAATATTACATTAATTCAAATAAAATAATTTAAAATATATACTAATGCAATATTTTTTAAAATTTTGAATAATCCACATGAAAAATAATGATATTAGACAAAATAATTTTGATTTTAAGCAGATATATTTTAATTTGATAGGAATATAAACTTCTACATAATTAATATAAGTTTACAATTTTCAGTAAAAATTAAAATTCATTCATTAGAATTATAAATTGAAGAAAAAATAAAATAATAATAATATATTAACATTTAGCTAATAGTGGCTTTTAATATTCTGATTAATTCTGATTTTTGTTAATTCAAATTTCATGTGTTTGAAATTTGAATTAACAAAAATCAGAATTAATATCTATTCAGAATAATTTAAATTCTTACTAAAATCATCAAGATATTTTGTTAGCTGTTTGACATTAGACTTTAAGACAAGTGGAATTTAAAATTTTTATTTAGAACTGAATATGATCAAATTTAAAATTCAGAAAATACTAAATTAAAATATACATGTAAATATATTAATAAANATTGTTGGATATATATATAAATAAAACTAAATATGAATCTATTCATTTATGCTTTTTTACTTACTTTCCTGAATCAACAAAATCATATAAAATGGTATTCAGAAAAAGCAGCATTAATACAGCAACAAAGATATTGTAGATAGTTTGTATATGATTAATTTTTAGAAGTTCCCTGTGAATAAACAACAAAATTTTAAACGTTTATACTAAAAAGGTAATAAAAATATTTTTTAATTAATTTTTTGCAAAAAAAATATAATATAGTGCATAAAATAAGAATATCACTATTCTATGTCAAGTATTCCAAGTAAGTAATAAACATGTTCCATAACATCTGATAATTGGTGTTCACTTATATAATGGCTGATCTCAAGATTAAAATATGATTATAAAAATATCTCTTTTTGTGCATAACAATAAAAAGATTGTATATATGTTATATTTTCTAGTCTCCTAGATGGAGATAATGACAAAAAGAGGCTAGTAAAAAATACTAATATAATAAAGTTTTTAAAATAATTGTAATATCTACTTCAATTCACAATTCAAAACATAATTGTTTGAATAGTAGAGCTGTGTAATACAGAATATTGTTTGAATGTTAATTATTTTATTAATTACATGTTTAATATACAAAGCAGTGACAGAAAGTATGATTTGCAATTCAGAAATAAAAATGAGTCATTCTGTTACCCAAATACGAAAACCCTTGCATCACATGATGTATCTGTATACACCCTTTATAATGCATCATTATAATCAGCTGCTATCTACCCACCAATATCTGTGTTATGTAATTTATGACAATTTCTTAAAGGTGTTCCAAATACTTGTAACCTAAAAGTAAATTTGTCAAAACCATTTTAAGAGTAAATATTTTTTTTATTAATTTTGTTGTAAATCTCCTCTTTCTAAACATCAAAAACTGGTTTAAGAAAAATATAATAGTAAGATATCAATTTCTAATACTAGTAAATAAAAACTTCAAATACTTCTAAAATGTATTAAAAAATATGTTTATATTAAAATAAATTATAAAATTTCATTCATAAAGTATCTAAATTTCTAGAAAATAAATTTATGATTATAAACCATAAATATTTTGTGCAAAGTATTCACAATTTATAATAATTGCACAGAATTTAAATACAAACTTAAAATTAATTAAAATACTTACGTTAATAAAGAGTCCCTCTGAACAAATATTTTATCTGGAAGTTCATTATTTTTCCTAAAAAATATAAAAAAATAAATTTTATATATTATATATGAAGCAACAAACATGAAAACACTACATTTAATAATACAGGTAAGTATTTTACATACCCATCAACATTTTTCAAATTTTTCTTATTCAGATTATCATAATCAGATGATAATTCAATTTGATCTCCCAATTTAGAAATAGCATCATCCATTAATCCTGCAAGTTGCTGTTCAACATTTTCAATAAATGCAGCTCTTAATTTCTAAAAGAATACATTAATATGTTGCAATATATGTTTATATATTCACATCAAAATAAATATTATTATTATACAGAATATATTTTGATCTATTCTTTACATTTTCCAAAAATTAAATTTAGTTTGAATATACATTTAGTGCCATAAACTCATTATAAAAAAAATAAAATGTACTTTATAACTGTTAAATAAATGAAATTTTCACTTCATTAGAAATTTCTTTTGAGCTTTGATCATATTTCACCAAAAGATGCACTTTTTCAATGTTTCTGTTTATTAAAAGATGACCAAAACACTTAAAAGTACTGCAAAAACTTATTGCTTTCTATTATAGACCTCAATATATTGCAACTGATTAAATAATCAATCATTATAGAATGTCGGACTATCTCACACTAGTCAGTTTTTCCTTGAGTGAATTGACAAATGTAAAAGTATGTGGGAATTTTAAACCTTTTTCAAGGGCATGTATGTGACTAAAGGCCAGATTTATATGGACTTAAAATCACAATATATTATTATGCATATGCAAATAAAAATGTCAGATATATGCACTATTATATGCATGTTAAAATGTTTGAAATTTGTAATATGCAAGGTAAAAGCACTAGTAATACACACTAAAATTTGTAGGTTGAAATGCAGAAGTACTTCACTTCTATCTGTAAACAAAATTAACCTGTATTATAAAATCACATTTTTTTAGGTACAAGGAGATAAACATGCAGCAATAGGTGATATAAAGAATTTCAATACATATTTTATGAAATCAAAAAATATGTATTGGAATATCATTTCATACAGGAGATCAGAAATCAAGTCAAATAGAATTACATGTTCAATAAAATTTTTTTAATTTTCTGTGCTATTAAATCAATCATTATAGAATTTCATTCTATATATATGGTTGTTTACAAGATGTTTGAGGATGACTAGCAGGAAACAATTTGTGGCATACATTATAATAAATTTTTCCATCTGTTTTGTATGTCCAGGATCCAAATTCCTGTACTTACTTTCTTAACAAGTCAGCATTATTTTTTGTTGTTTTACCCATATTGTTGGTTGAACTGAACTCAATCTAATGGAACCCTTTCTGAGCATGCTCTGTATGTGGAAGTTTGACTACTTTATTCATGAGAAATTTTTTTCCTCAAATTTAATTAAACATTATAGTTACACAATTTTTTGAAAAATTTAAATTTAACTTTATTAAATTAATAAATATACCATTGAATTAAAATTATTGTTAAAGAATTCTGAGAATTTGAAAAAAAAAATTTCCATAGAAATGTAAAACATGTGAGAAGCCAGGGATTAGAGGGTAAAGCTCTAAACCCTTTGATCAGCATCACTCAAGGTAGCCTTTACCAGGCTGATGCCACTGAAGGTGTTTATGGTGTTAGAATGAAATAGGAGAGTTTTTTATCTAACATCGAACGGAGAGGTGCGATGAGTCTGTCAATAGCGTGTCCGGTTATTTGAGTAAAGCCAGGTTCACAGGTTAAAAAAATAACACATTTAATATAAAAATAAAGCAGATTATAATATACAGCTAATTAACATATGCTCAGTCACATGGTTCTTAGGGATACCGTTTCTGCGTGATTATCTACTTTAACTGAGAGAGAGAGAGTTTACAAGTGGAAATACAATTCTAAGTACAATACCACATGAAGATAGCTCTATGTTTCTGGATCCTATTCATATGACATTGGCAAGATGATCATAGATCTAGTCAAGTATCAGCGGTCCATAGGGTGTTGTGGAGCTGGCGAATAGAGCTTCTACGCTGGAGTCTGCTCCGACAATTGACTTTGAGTCCTTTTTATTCTCCCTGAGCATGGGAGTCAAATCAGGTGATTTTGATTTAATGTGGTCTAAGTTTGAGATACAGTATATTATTGCATCAGCTGGAGCAAGCCATAAGAATTTGATGACCCAGCCAGATTGTTGATACTTTCTTGCCCGGTGTTATGACTCTTTTTACCATATAAGGCAATCAAATTTGAAGTTCTTTGATGTCATCAACGAGATGTTGTGACTCTTCTTACTTCATAATTTAACCGACTGTGACATTTTCCTCATTAATAACTATATGTTTAGATTTATTCTCGACATTTATTTAAAACATTGTTAAAGATTGTCAATCTTTATCTATCAGATCAGAAGTCAATGGAAATGCGAGATGGTGAGGCAAGAAAGTGAGTTTTTTCCATTTCACAAATTTAACTGTGTATTAATTTTTAATTAAATTAATTAATTAATCGTGCTCAGGATTTCAACATGTTTGTTTATGAAAGTTCAAAAAAAAAAAGTTTGCATGCTTATCTGCAACTGAATGATGGAATGATATTTCTCATATGAACTATACATACATAAACAGATTTATGCAAAATAACAGAAGCAGATTGTAGCTCATTTTAAAAAATTAACACTTGCAATCATGCAAATAAACAGTAAAGTTTATAAAGCACTTATACAGCCTCAAAAAATGGCCAAATCTGCAAAATATGCAGTAAAAATCATATGCACATAAAATATGAATTATTGGACAACCAAATTGTGTTTATATTGAAGTTACAACATCATAGCATTTGAGGAAAATATATGCACATGGATACAAATCCAAGGCTTATATATAATCATTAAACAAGGGAGTAGACAGGCAACTAACCTTTGAATTTCTCCTTTAAGGAGAAGTTTATTTACATAAAGAGTTACACGTATTTTACATCAATTCCTTCCCAGCATATAAAATATGCAAGTGCACCTGCCATATTTTTTCCCAGGAAGAGAGTGTACATGAGAATTCTGAAGATGGTCGATAAATATCAGAGTCCATCAAACAGTCCCAAAAGAAATGTTCTGACTACACATTTGGTAGAGTTGAAAGTTTGTTGGAATCTTGAAATTAAAGCAACTTTTATCTGTTTCAGTCTGGTGATTCAAACTTTTGTTCTGTTACGATATGATTTGGCAGATGATGAGAGGACTTGATTTAATCATTAAGGCTCATCATGGTTGGTCACTTGGTAAACTCTCTGAATTATTGGGTCTGGGTTATAGAACAGAGACAAATTACTTGTTTGAAGGTTCAGATATGACTCATTTGGAAGCTCTGACACAACTGTTTCTTGTCTCTCCGCTTGACTCATATTTCAAAAGATTTTCTCCTTGGATACTGCCACAAGCCTCTGTTAGCAGACAGTTCATTCACCATTCACTTTAATTGGATTCTTGTACTGTCACTTTAAGTTTATGGGGATCATCCAGGAATTGATTCCTTTTTCCAGGAAAGTTTTTCTCATCTGTCACTCCAATTACATGACAAAATTTTCTTTTTTCTTCTAAACAATTTTATTGAACACACTATGTCCACATAAGTCACCAAATTTTTTATTATCTGACTCATACATATTCTTTGTTGTTGTGACAAGGCCAACCTTACACTTTGAACTGGCAAAAACCACTCAAGAATGTATGATTCATAGAATCCTTTCCATAAATAAGCTTAATGCATTTTATTTATTTTTCCAAATTTTTTATAAAATTTAATTGCTTAATGTTCTTGGATATGGTAAATGCAATTTTGTATACATGACATACTCATTCAACAATTGCATATGAATGAACTTATAAAAATGGGTCATATGTGCCAGTGACTAAGAAAGTGGTGTAAAGCAACTAAGAAAAGCAAAAATAGGAAAGTAAAGATTTATTTCACAAACTATGTTTTATGTAATTGTAAAATTTTATAAATCTATTTTGCAAGAGTTTATTTTGCAAGAGATATATTTGTGTTTTCTTTTTATGATCATAAAAATTTTTTCTTTAATTTTTACAAAACTGAAAAACTGAAAAGTCAAATATCTCCAAATGAAAAATGTATGATACACCTATAATCACTAGCACATAAAACATTTGAAAAGTTGAACCAAATACTTTTATTTTAATCAACTGTTACATAAATATTACTGATAAGAACAAATATCAATTTTAGATACTATACAATTATTATTGTATTAAACAGAAATTTTGTTACATTTATACTTTCATTATAATGCAGCTATTAATGAATTATCTATTTAATGCAGAAATAATACATGAGAAAAATTTTATTATAAACTGAGAAGATATATCAACAATTATAAGTACTGATTTAACTTATTTTTCATTATATCTTGTCTTTGAACATCCATATGTTAATATCTATTTTCAAAAATGTCAACCCTAAAATTATGAAATTTTTTAAAACTTTGATTAAATAATCCAGTAATATGAAAATACATATACTATTCAATTATTAAATTATTCATTGTTGTTTTATTACACTAACAATTAGACCAAAAACACAAATTTAAATTTATAAAATTGCTTTATACATAAAAACCATGATATTTAGCAATATTTACCTAATTTATTAATGATAAAATATAATTATATTGATTAAAATATGATGAAAATTATACTATTTTCATATGATATATGTTGACAGGTAAAAGTTAGGAATTTGATGCTGTAGACAGATTATATTTTATCATCAATAAATTAGGTAAATATTGCTAACTATTTACCTAATTTATTGATGATAAAATATAATCTGTCTACAGCATCAAATTCCTAACCTTTACCAGTCAACATATATAAAAATAGTATAAAGTTAATTAACCCCATTGAGGAATTTGCTTGGGTCAGATAATAAAGACTTAATTGACTTATGTGGACTTACTAAGTGTTTAAGAATCAAATAGAAAAAAGTTATATTGCATCAAATGGAACTACAAACTGCAAAAGTATAAATATGTTAATAATCAAATTCTATTAATTATGTTAAAAATAATAAACATAATTAAAGACAACTAAAAGAAAACTTCCCAGGAAAGAGAGAGAGACAATCCCAGATGACTTCTCTTCCCTGTAAACTTCTTTGACAAACCCTGTAAAAACTTTCAGTGACTTTTTGAAGATCTAATCAAAATGAAACATGAACCAATTTTACAAATCTTTTTTGGGAGAACAAGGTATCCAAGAGGAGGATCTTGGAGAAACAAAGGAGAGTCACACCTGAGACTACAGATAAAAAAAAAAGTTGTATCCACCCTTTCTGCTTCTTATGAACTAACCCAGAAGGTCAAAGTTGATATGACCAACCAAGATGAGTTCTGATATCACTAATTAGATAAAATTCTCTCAGCATCTGTTGAATCTTTCTGCCAAGATGATTAATCTCTTGACAGAAACGAAAAAGGAAATCTTGCCTAGTTCAAATCACAAAGGAAAATGGATAAAAGTTATTTTTACTTCAAGATCCCAACAATCATCCAATACTTTTAAATGTGCATCTGGAACATTTCTTTTGAGATTCCAAAGAACTCAGGTATTTATGCTTGGAGCATCTCAATGGATCGGCTCTTTGATCTCTCTCTTCCCCCAAATAAAATACATGGTTGTTGTGCTTAAAACAAATTTTCACCATGCTGAAATATGCAGTGGATTTATACCCACTACATATTAAAAATTCGTTATCAGAAAAGAAAAGATCAGGTTAATTTCCTTTCTTCTTCTTCCTCTAACATTTATATATTTACTTGCACAACACATTAAAACAAGTTAAAATCTCCAAATATTATCTGAGTTTGTCAGTTTCTAAAAACTGACTAGTCAGTCGTTCTGATGTGATACTGTAAACTCATTCAACTACTATATTGGAACATCCCAATAGTTAAAGAATGATAATATTTTGAACATGCACCAAATAAATCAGATCTACAGAAGCATACCACTGCCAAAAGATTTTCAATCAATCAGAGTTTAATAGCTTATTAAATGACTTAAGTCATTTTTGATAGTGAAAATGTAAAATAGCTTTATGCAAATTTTTAAGAAATTTTTTTTTTTAGAAATTTTATTATAAGTTTGTTAAAATTTACACATTATTATAAAAAGGATCCATAAATTTATCAACACATTTTAGGTTTTAAAGAAAATTATATTAATGCTGTAAAATTATGTATGTACAGTACTTGGTATCAATTGTGGTAATTGTGTGTGTTTAATAAATTTGTAATGTTATTAAAACTGATCCCATTTACTTGGTATACATTCAGATTATTACCATATGATCCTCTAGTAAAAACTGTTAGATATTATAAAAGAATGTTGTCAAAGTTTTGAAACTGTATTATTCATTTAAAAAATTAAACTTGGAAAAATGATTTTGTAATTAAATATGACAATGATAAGTATTCACAATGCAATAGTTTATCAACAGGTGCAGCATTACCTTTAATACTGCATTCCAAATAACTCAAAATAACATATTTCAGAATCAAATTCAAAGTTTAAGTAAATTTAAATCAAAAACAGAAATTCTATCATCATGAACTAAAAAACATGATCGTAAATTAAGATTTTTGAAACTAGATGACAATATTCATTTCAGTATTTATAAAATTTACTTACTTGAGTGTCTTCTCGAACTCTTTCTATATTTAACTGCTTCATCAGATTTGTGTTTTTCATATATAAAATGCCTTAAATGAAATATTTTAAATATTAAATAAATATCCTATAAAATCAAAAATCATATTTAAAAATTTTGAAAAAAATATAAACTTCAGAGTACAAAATATTTCAAAGTATGCTATTCAAAATAAATGATTTTACAAAATATAAACATTTCAAAACACCACTTATTCTAAATAAAAACATGTAGTTATACCACTATATTAACTCTAAACACAAAATCAGCCAAAATTGGTCTTATCTATTCAAAACAAAATCGGCCGACGGAAAAGTTGTTTAACTGTTTGCTATACAAGTTCCCTTTGTATCCTGAGGGGTAAAAAACAATTTTGTCATTAGGAGAAAGTTTTTAGAGCTTAAAGAATTAAATTAAATCAAAATGATGCTGTATCATAAATTCATATAGTTCTCGTATTTCTTTGTATCACTGATCTGATGAATTAATCTCTCAACATTTTTCTAATTTGATATTATTTACTTACAGTCCAATTCCATTTTTATTTGGTTCAAAGTAAGTCAGTATCATCATAGCTGTACTATGTTCATACTGACTTACTATTAAAATGTATATTAGTAAGTAGCAACACAAGAAGGAATAATTATTATTGAAGTAGGTACTAAGTATTAATTCAAATATACCAATTCACTTTCAACCAAAAACTAGCAATCAAGTTGCAAAGGCTCAAACAATACAAAACTGAAATATTATGAAAACAACAAAATAAATTAGTCACAAAAAATGAGATATTTTTCTACAAACAACTATATAAACAAACCAACCATTGACCACAGCACAGTGGCACACCAACAGAAAAACAAATCACAGATTATTGATCTGTTCTTTGGTCCAATCCAATTAAGCACAAAGATAAAGCAAGCTAGATCAAAGAGGAAGAACAAAACATGCAAAATACACCAATCATGCCATATACCAAAATAAACAAAAACAACATCCAACCTGCAGTACAAAGTACATACAATTGGTGCAGATAACATTTACAATTTCTGATACAAAAAGATTTAAATCCATGTAGCAGGAACTAGCCAAAACATAAATATACACGACCATTGAAACCTGATACATTAAGCTAATACATCTACAACAGCTGTAAATAATCAGGCTATATTTTAGATAAATAATTAGAAATTAGAAATGAATTTGGCACTAGAGTGAGGCGTTAGGCACCATCTCTTATTAAAATTAATAATTAATATTTAATTAAATACATACACAAACAACAATTTACCATAAATACAAAATTCCTTATTACAGGACATCACATACATGAAGTATAAAAACAATAGAATACAGATCAATTGCATGCCTTCTTACACTCTACAAAACTCATTTCATGCTCACAAATAAAAATAAAACATCATATAGAATGATGCAAACAGTGATGCACTTGAGATTTGATCTTGAGAAGCCAAGTTGAACAGATAAAAAATTTTTAATGCAAATTCAATAAAATTCTCACCTTATGTAACCACTAATTCATTAGTAGTATAGAAATAGACATGACACAATATAAATAAATAAAGTACGTACTTTTCCTTTGTTTAAGGGTATTTGGACAGTTTATTCTCTGTTGCATTCTCAAGCAAACAATACATACAAGTACAGTACAGTATTTTCTGAGGAAACACTCGTACTTATTCTTTTTTTAACCCTATTCCCAATAACCTAGCATTTTCACAAACTCGGCCACCCTTCGGTCCACATTAGGCCGAGTTTTCGGGACTCTACTGTACAACATTCTTACAGAGCAGCAGAATGGTTGTAATAGAAACCATATGGGATTCAAAGAGCAATTACATCAACTCTGCTATTCTATAACAAGAAATACTATTAATTATTACTATCATGTATTTAATTAAGTCACATTAATTAAATACGTGCATAAGAACAAATGCCGTCGAACCTCCAATAATAGTTTAACACATTAATTATTAATTTCATGCTCTTACTGTATATAGTGCAAAAACTGTATATACATGATTATTATGTGAAAGTACATAATTTGCATAGTTCTAGTTCATATAATATATGAACACACCTGAATTCTACTTGCCAAGTTTTTTTTCTTTTTATTCAAATGTTTTCAGCCTATTTGGATTGGCCATCCTCAGGTTTTTCTTTATCGTTCCAAATGGAACCATTCATTCGAATTTTATTTTGATTTGAATTTTTGAAATAAGTTAACAACTTTTTGTATATTACATAAATAAGAAAATAAATAAAATAAAATACAATAAAATATGTCCCTATACGTGCTACAAAAATTAAATAACATATTTTTACATGCGTCTAAATCATAATATAATAACTTCTTATAATCTCCTGTTCCTATTTTATGGATTACTAAAGCCCATACATTTTTCTATTTTGTATTTCCATGCTGTTGGTAATGTATTTGCATCCTTTTCATTTAAACATTGGTTCCTCATTTTACTTAAATAAATACTTAAATTTAAATGAAAAGGATGCAAATACATTACCAACAGCATGGGAATACAAAATAGAAAAATGTATGAGCTTCAATAATCCATAAAATAGGAACAGGAGATTATAAGAAGTTATTATGTTATGATTTAGACGCATGCAAAAATATGTTATTTAATTTTTGTAGCACGTATAGGGACATATTTTATTGTATTTTATTTTTTTATTTATGTAAAATAGGAACAGGAGATTATAAGAAGTTATTATGTTATGATTTAGACGCATGCAAAAATATGTTATTTAATTTTTGTAGCACGTATAGGGACACATTTTATTGTATTTTATTTTTTTATTTATGTAATATACAAAAAGTTGTTAACTTATTTCAAAAATTCAAATCAAAATAAAATTCGAATGAATGGTTCCATTTGGAACGATAAAGGAAAACCTGAGGATGGCCTATCCAAATAGGCTGAAAACGTTTGAATAAAGAGAAAAAACTCGGCAAATAAAATTCAGGTGTGTTCATATATTATAATTAATGTTGCTGAGGAGAGAGATAGTTCTAGTTCATATTTTTTTATGAGTACCATTCATTTTCATTTGTACAAATGGTTAACAAACATTAACAATTGACATTAATTAAATCTATTAAATAGTAGTACAGTTGTCCCTCTATAGTCCGACGTTTTTTAATCCGACATGCTCAGTAGTCCAATGCACCTCCCGTCAACGTACCCATCCCCGTTACGTGTCTGCTTGCACAGAAGCATGTCGCGATGTGAATCTCCCCATCCAATTTTTACACGATGACACACATTTCGTGTCTTTTATGTGAGGCGTTTTGTTCGAACAGTTGGAGTAGAGAATATTGTAAGTTACTGATAGCAAAACAATGCGAAATATGTAATTATTTTCGGTAATCCGGACACTTTTGGTAATCTGACACACCTTTGGTCCCATACCTGTCAGATTATCAAGAGACAACTGTAATTATACAAAAATTATTGAATTCAGTTTTTGCTTTATGCTGTATAAATATTACAGATGTTCAACTTTTGAAAATATTCAATTAGTGTAATTAAGTGTTTGCACTACTTTTTTGTTTTGTTTGATGTTTCAATGATTTTTCTTCTTTCTTACTTGCCTTTTTAATTTTTTGAAATTGGAATTATATGATATATAACAAATATTTATGAAATTCCATGAAAACAGTAATGTTCAAGAAATTTGGAAACTGAAGCAGTTTAGACAAAACATTGTACATATTCTAAAATTAATCCATCTATAATTTGGGTCATAAATATTCTAAAATTGGATTGAGTAGTGATTAGTATAGTTTATTGTATTATACTTTATTTCTGAATGGGTATTGATTTAAAATACATGATATATATTTTATAGTGATAAATGAAAAGACTCTTGATCACTTCACATGAGAACTATCAATATATCTGACACTTTTATTACATGTTAAAATAAAATGTAGTCACAATCATCTGATTATTTTCATCTAAATATGTTAATGCTTATAACAGTATCTAGATATTGTGTTTATTCAGTCAAAGATAGCTCCTTTTTAACTAACACAACAAAATTAAAGTAAGTAGTTTGTAAAGCATTTATTTGTCAATAACTGTTATTTATTTGAAAGACCAAAATTAAACATAAATAACATCATTATTGAGATTAATCCAAATTGTATTGGAAATTTAAGTAATTTTTTTGTTTAGAAAACACTGTGTTTATAACAATTAAACAACTTTATATATTTCTTTGTATATGCAAAAATATTTTGGTATATATCACACTGTACATTCTGAATCTTAAAATATATAAATTTAACATAAAGAAACACAGCTTTTACATAAGAGCATGAAAAATTTTGAATAATTTTTGAATGCTCTTACTGTATACATGGGCGTAGCCAGAGTTTTGTTATGGGGGGGCCTAGTGGAGGCCAACCTGACACAAAATTGAATTATTTCAAATTATTGTTCATTATTGGGCACCGAGCAAGCCGTTCACCTTTTTTTAGTATTCAAAACTTTTATTTTAGCTTTAGGTTTTTACAAATCGACTCAACACTTTTTCGGCTGTGATTTCCTGGGGAGGGCACCAGGTTCCCTGGGAGGGGCCGTGCCCACCAGGCTCCCCCCTCGCTACGCCCATGACTGTATATAGTATATAAACTATATACATAATTTGATTATTGTGTGAAAGTATATAATTTGCACAGTTCTGGTTCATTGTTTTTTTATGAGTACCATTCATTTTCAATTGTGTAAATATAACCACCACTATTTGAAAACAACGAAAGAGAATTGACTTTCATATATTTTCCAAACAAAATTTTATTGAATTTTAAATTTATAAATGCAGAAAACACTTATGATCCTGTTAAGTCTAAAATACACGTCATGACTTAACATCCGCTATTCCATAAACAACCAAACCAAATTTTGAATTTGTTTCGTTCATTTCAATATTTAAAACCGACGTTTCGTTTTTAATCTACGATATTAACAGAAATAAAAAATCGTAATTTATAATCCTCCATTTTTTATAAACACATGTGGACATAACTATAAAGAAATTAAGAAATTCGATAAAAATAATGAAAAAACAGAAAGCGATAATTGTGCATTTCGGCATATTTCTTTAAAAAAAAAAACTTACCGTTAGAATTTGATTTATTATCATTAGCCATCATATACTTAGTAATACTTCATCAATCATTATTGGTTGCCTTATCGTTTGCCTTTCATAAATAATTCTGATTTGTCATAGCCGGCAACTTTAAATTTCAATTGAAAACATTACGTAATTTTGATACATAGTCCACATATAGATATACACCGTTTTTATCAGATCGCGTAACGTGGTTAATTCTTTTTTAAAAAAAAATAATAAATAAATTTGTCTAGAAATTAAATAATTAAATAGAAATGTTTACAAATGGTAAATTATGTTTGATTGTAAAAAGCGCCATTTTCTTGTACTGTACACTTAAGTGAATTGACGGCTCGTTTCGATGTGTGACGTCATCGGACGGAAACACGTCATGTTTATACAACACATAGGCGTGTCGTCGACTTTCTGTTTAATTTATTTTAAACATAAACATTAAACTATATTTGTAATACATTTGAAAACTATTTAAAAATTTTTAAATATTTAATAAATATGTAATAACTATATAATATTAAAACCTGTGTATTCCAGAGAATTTGTGCTAAGTATTCGAGTGAGCTCACACAAGGAGAACGAGACAATTCGAATACCAAATATCAATACTATGGTTTTGCTCTGTCTTCGGAAATTCTAATCGCATTACAATAATACAGGACCAGTTATTCTGTGATCCGACTTAGTTACTATAGTTAGTTGCTAATCGCTCTGGACAAGGCAAATTAGTAGCATGTGTTATCTTATTATTATATTCAACAAATTACATTCATTGCTTGTTTCTGTTCATTCAATTTTTAAAAGTATCGACTCGGTCCCTTCATCGTACTTTCAACAAAGATGGTATGTCCCTCTGTCATGTGACCGAAGTCGGAATGGCGTTATCATGGTCTTCAATGACCGTTATATTGGAGGCGATTTTACTTATTTGCCTACAAGTGAAATGTTAATTTTCCGCTTTATTCAGTTATGTTATGTTCTGCGTACACAAAAATCTCTTCCGTTTCAGTTTTTTCTATTAGGCAGGTTTCGTTTTATTCAGATTTCGTTTTAGATAGGTTTTACTGTGTGTCATTGTGAGATATATTTTGAAATAAAGTACTTTTAATAATAAAAATTATTAAGCAATAAATTTATTAGCAATAAACATTAATATTTGCAATTTATGGAATAATACTTTCATTAACTTTATATCATCGAAAAACCCATATAACTGGATTCAAAAATAATTTTCAGATTATTAAATTTTAATATTTAATTCTTTGATCTAATTGATCTGTTTCTTCGAGATCAATCGGATTATTGAACTGAACTCAATCTAATGGAACCCTTTCTGAGCATGCTCTGTATGTGGAAGTTTGACTACTTTATTCATGAGAAATTTTTTTCCTCAAATTTAATTANCCGTTAAATAATAAATGGTTTTTAGTAGGTCCGCTGCTCGTTTAAACTCAACGGTTTGTGCAATATCCGCTATTGGTCTAGATTCGACCAATTCTGTCGCGACGTACTGTATTTCTTTATCATATATAATTTGTATATATTTTCCTTCAATTTATGGAATTTTAAATTAATTTTTAAAATTTTTTTAGTAAAGTATATTTGATTTACGATATTTGCAATGTATAGTAATAAAATGTAATATTTTAATTTTATTTTTAAAATGACGTTTAAAACTATAATTTATCCTTGCTTTTTATCTCTTTCGAGCTTCTTTGTGCTGACTCTGCAATCTGTTTTCATTATCGTTATCGGTGTTAGCTTTATTGATGTATTACCATTTAACCTTGTATTTAACCATTTAATCTTGTATTTGACGTGCCAAATACAATATTAATTATTTAACTATATAATGAAATCTTCAGATTCATTAATAATAATAAAATTCGTGTCACTTTCTGCTTAGAAATGATTTTTTATGAGTGAATTCTGTCTTCCCTATTGTTCATTTGTCAAATGAATAATAGGAAGTCAGTTCAAATTTCGTGTTTTATTAGTTCGAAAAATATAAACAGTTATACTATGCACAATCACTAATAGTTTAGCATCCAATCAAATCAATTTAAATCCATCCACGACGAAATAAAGTTCTATCGGAACCATACATGATGAACATGGGCGACATATAAGCCAATCAACCATGCAAATGCAAGTGTTTTTGTTAACTGAATTTATCACCATCTTGATCATTCAGTTAATAATTTAAATAATAAATGATTCAATTTATATTCGTCTACCAGTGGCCGAGTGGATAAAACCACCGCACACTGGTAGTTAGTTGGGGGTTCAAGCCTAGCCAACGGGCTGGACAGGTGGAATTTTCCGGGTTTTCTTCCTGTTGGAAACACGTAAATTGGGCTAGTTTTCCATAAAATATCTTCTTGGAGGCATTCCTCCTCAACTGATCCGTCCATGCGTCGCGTTGCCATGTACGAATAAAACTAAACCATCTGTATTGTTTTTAATGTTTATTTATTTATAATGTCCGTTGTAAACATTGCCATTTTTCAAAGAGAATTAACTTCGTTTTTTGGCGAATATATCAACATCCGAGATCTTGGAATGAATAATCAAAAGACAACGGATTGATTTAATTCGTATTGGTAGGATATATTTTGCGATAAAATGAGGCCGTGGGTTAAGGTGTCAGCCTATTGCTCTAGGTGGCCGTGTTGTGAGCAACGGGGCTCGACATATCCGAGATGGATCATCCCCGAAAATTTTTTAGGGTTTTCGACCTGTTCGTTAGGATTCGTTCCTGGGTTTCCAGAACGGCGGGCTAACGCCTTAACGGCTTCGGCCCTCCGATTGTCGATGGCAGACAACTGTGGTCCGACAATATTTGTTTGTTGGGTTGCGGTTGGACTGCAGCTCATGGCTACGTCGCCCGGACAGAACTTGAATTGCAGATGGAGCGACAACGCTCTCTAGTATTGATAGAGTTTTATATAGTCACTGAAAAATTCTTTTAATATGCGTAAATTTATTTATTTTTATTTATTTATTATTTTATTTTTGTGAATTTTCACGAGGTAGTCACTTATTTTGTTGATCTCGCTGTTTATGCTCTAATATTTTCTAAAAGGTGTTCCAGATCGTTTCGAAGATGAAGCACTCATTCAATCCATGGAGAGTCTCGTATAATTTTTGGAATGAGACATTTCCAGCCTCATGTATAATTTTTGGAATGAGGCTTCTCGGCCTTATGGTTGGATCAAATGTGTAGTATCTGGTTTCCAGCTACCTGTTGTGGGGACGTTTCGGAGCACACCCTTTGATCTTAAATATTGTGTGGTGTGTGTCTGTCTAGGTCAGGTGTCGCAAACTTGGCATCTACGGGCCGGACACGGCCCATTAACGCTTTATATCGCGGCCTTGGTGATTTATTTTCTAAAAATCAATGTTTCTAACATCTTGCGAGGATTAAAAGAGAAAAAATAAAAACTACTGTTTACGTAAGTCATAAAGATCTGGCAACAAAAGGGCCTTTGTTAGAACTTTTTTTTTTAGTTTACAGTATGTTTGGTTTACCAAATATTAATGAATATGGCCTGCGTCTGATTTACTATAAGTCTATTTGAGTAGTCCTTTGCTATGTTTGAGTTTGAAAACTCCGGTCTTCATAATTGGGATCGATTAGTATCGACCCCAATTATAAAGACATAGATAGATAACTAGACCAACTTTATAGCCATGGATAAAGTTGGCCCCCTATCTAAGTGTTACTAACGTGGAGAAAATCCGGAAAACGCCAGTAACCATCCCGTTGGTGAGGTGTAAACCTAGTGTGCATAAGCATGACTTATTCAATACTTTGCATTCATTACAAATATTAGGCCTGTGTTCTTATTTTCTCCAGCTAAAAAACTGTCCTAATATTTTTTTCATAAATTACTCCGATTTAGTGTTACCACCCGTCCGGTTTTCACCAGGACAGTCCGGGAATTGACTCACTGTCCGGGTGAACTATCAATTTTCTCCGGAATTTCGTGCTCAACCTGTCGATTTTTTTTGCTTGTACGATTGGTACACGTCTCCAATCTCCAATAGAGCTAAGTCATCTGTACTTCTTCTTTCTTAATTTAGGTTACTTACGTTACTCCTACCCAAATCTCCCTAGTCCCTAACTGTAACTGATTTAACACGTTATTCTTCGCATTGCAAAATGACATTGCGCATGCGTCAGTAACTTCTGTTCGAACAAACCTTACCTGCCGTCCGGGTCAGCGATTTTGAAAAGGTGGCAACACTATTCCGATTGTTGAACCAAACAAGAGCTAGACTTGTTTAAAAATACAGTCGACCCCCCTATAACACGGTAGATACGTTCCGCTTTTTATAAAATTCATGTTCTACGAGTCCTTAAATACATGAGCCAATCACAGCCCGGTACGTGTGCAGTTTACGGACTACGGCTGTTTGAAAGGTTTTCTTCCATAAAATTAATCGATTCTAGACTAATTTGACTCAACATTTCCAAAACACGCATAATTTTTTGGGAATAATCCGTATAAACTATGCTATAAACAAAAAATTATAGGATTACTTACCGAGTGTGCACCGTTCTACGACGCCATTGCTAAGCTTGTTTTCGTCGTGGAGCGGCGCGTTTCCTGATAAATTATTTTTCTGTGAAAACTTTGCTGAACTTTGGAGACAACATTAATTAATATAATTTTTATGGCCGTTAAATAATAAATGGTTTTTAGTAGGTCCGCTGCTCGTTTAAACTCAACGGTTTGTGCAATATCCGCTATTGGTCTAGATTCGACCAATTCTGTCGCGACGTACTGTATTTCTTTATCATCATCGTATTTTAAAACACAATTTTAATGAATATTAGCTGTTAAACAAAATCAATTTTATTTGTGAATGAACATATCTTTATGTTTGAGTCTATATTAACAAAAAGTATGTATAAGTACTAATTGCATTTATATACTGTATTCGATAAAATTATATTTATCTTATTTTTCATTCACAGTATAACGTATTATATATATATATATATATATTAACGAAGTGAAGGATATCAGATTATCTATTAGTACATTTTAACATTGTATTAGTTTCGTTTTATCTTCATAAAACTGATATGAAACGAAATACAGTGGGTGATTGAACATAATTGAATATTGAACATAATTCGTTCCAAGACTTTGTTCGCTATCCGAATTGTTCGTTAACCGATTATCGATTTACCATAGGTTTCTATGGGAATTTGATTAATTCGTTCTGGAGACTCCCAAAAATAAAAAATATATACTTTCTTACTACGTTTATTCATATGTAATAATAAAAATACATATATACGCGGTCTTGCATTTT